GGGGCAGTGGCACAGGGCAGAGGTGCTGTTGCTGAAGGACAGCCGCGGAGGTAGGGCTACCTGTAATCTGTAACGATTAGGAAGCTGTTTCCAGCCGAGGTTTATTGCCAATAAAGCCAGCTCAGCACAACTGCGGGGGCATTAACTCTTATCTGCCCAGCACGACAAGAGCCCTGGGCTTTGCCTTCGGGCCTGAGGAGACCAAACACCCACAGCAGGGCATGGCACAGCCTGTGCCGTGCCCTCCCGCGCTGGGGGGACAGCCAGCACCCTGAACGGGTGGGATGCGCCGCCCCAGCATGTGCTACCAAAGCCCTTGGCCCCAGCTCCCTTCGCCTGCCGCCTGCTGCGCGGGGGGAAGCAGCGGGAGCCCGGCCACAGGGGCAAAGGATCCGTACCCAAACTCCTGAGGGGTTCAGCTGTACAAAAGCAGCGTCCCGCTTAATTAAAAGCAGACCTGCTGTAATGAGCCTGCCAGCACACCAGTGTGGCTCGGGCAGCTCTGCTAGAGCGGAGGCTGGGACTCAGCCTCACCGTGGGACTGGGACACACGGTGGCCCAGGGGCTGGGAGCCAGGGCAGGGTCACCCTGTGACTCCCTGCAAAGCCACATCTCCCTTCGTGTCCTCCCACCCCCCCGAGGAAGCACAGCCTGTGTGTTTCAGTTCCAGCCTGCTGCTGCTTAGCACCTCTCTAAAAGTCATCCCTAAAATTGCCTCTGGAGCAGGGTCTCTGCTGGGTCCTTCCGCCCCCGAGCAGGGTCCCATGCCGTCCCTGGGCTGTCGGCTCCCATCGCACCACCCAGCCGTGCCAGCACCCGGACCACCAGCAAACATGCCTGCCCTGCAGGGGAGATGTCTACCGAGGAGCCATGGCAGCAGTGGGAGGAGGCTGCGCTCTGCTTTGGGTCCTCGGGGGACTGGGAAAGCACAAACCACTCTGGATGTGGGTGCACCGAGGTGCCTCACAAGAGCCTTTCCAAGGGTGCCCTGCGTTTTGTTGGCTATTTTGGCTGCTGAGGAGGTCAGAGGGCTGTCGGCAGTGACTGGAGGTGGCCACAGCTCTTCCCACTGCAGAAGATGAGCTGCCATTCTGTTCTCTGGAAAACATTATGAGTTCTTGAAACCGTAAAACAATCTGGCTGGTGTCTCTCCCTCTGACGTTGGAAATCTGGACAGTGTTTGTACCAAGAGAGGGAGCAGGATGAAGAGACACATGCCGAACCTCACAGTTACGTATCTTGCCTGGCTCTCGCTCCCGCAGCCCTGCTGCAGCCCAGGCAGAGATAAACCCCCACCTCTTTTGGCAGCACCCACACACGTAGGGCATCTGCCAAACAGGGGAGACAGTTCTGGGCCTGAGCCCACTGCAGCCCAGCAGCACCCTCATTGAGGCTAACGACTAGTATAAAGCAGGACCAAAACAGGCTGATCCTGCTGGGTTCGGGGAACATTTGGCTTTGTTTGCAGCTCCAGCATCAGGCTGAGCCCCATCCCTGCCTCCACCAGCAACAGGCTCAGCTCCAGACCTGGAAGACAACCTGCCTTTGTCCCAGCAGTGAAATGAATCCAGTTTATGGTGGGGGAGAGCAAATGGCCCATTGCACTCGGGGGTTTGACTGCAACATGTAAATGCAGAGCAATACCAGAGCCCTTCCCGGCTACAGAGGAGAGACCAGGACATCCTTCAGGGCTGCATTGCGGTGAGTGCTGGAGATGATGAGCCTGGAAGGGGATGGGGGAGCTTTGGGATGACGATGCATCGGGACAAACCCTTCCACTAGGCAGCATTCCCAACCAAACCAGTCCCACGTATGGTGAATAGACAGGTCAATTGGAGCCTTCATCCCCAGCTCTGCATTTGGGAGGGGTCCAGCTGGTCAGCAGCCGCACAAGGGTCTCGCGGCAAAGACCCCAGTGGGCCTGACGGATGCTTCCTTTCTCCCTGCAGCCAACCCTCGCTCCTCACCATGGGGTCAGCACTGGCTCGTCCTGCAGCACAGAGCTCCGTGCTTCCCTTCCCACGAGGCAGCTTGCTTTCAGCCATCCTTCAGCTTTCATTGTGCTCTGAAACAGAGGGGCTGGCAGCTGGACAGCCCGGGCTGGTGTTTCTGAGCGGGCTCCAAGCAGCTGTTCGTGCTCGCAGACGGCGCTGGCGCTCGCTGCCTTCCCTGCTGGGCTCAGCTGCATGCAGGCAGGCTGCAGGCAGAGGCTGTGGGCAGCCCCCTGCCTGTGGTGCTGCCGGTTTGGGTCAGCTTTCCCCAGAGGTTTGAGAGCGGGTCTGGTGCTGGGCACCGGGTGAGCGGGGTCACGTCTCCCCAAAGGGACGAGGAGCGGGACCACCACAGCCACTGGCTGCTGGACAAACGGACAGGGGCAGCAGGATGGGAGCAGGCAAACAGGCAAAGAGGAGAGGGGCACGGCCATAAACTGCATTGTGCTTGCTCACCCAGCGTCACGGCAAGCATGAGGGTTGCAAGGCACCTCTCGGGGAGCTCCTCCTGTGTCGGGGCAGCCTATGGCACAGCCACCGCTCCCCCCTCCCGCCATCATCCCCACGGCAGACCTTGCACAGGGTGAGGGCTCCCTTATCGCCCAGTGTTTGCCTGTCTGGAGGAGCATGCTGCAGACAGGACTGGTTAACCATCACCCATGGGAAACAGGACAGGAAAAGGTCTGATGGGACGGGCTGTCCGTGGTCCCTCATCCTTCATGGGGGAGGCTCAGACCCCAGCTGACCCCATGCACCCGCTAGTGGCTGCAGGCTGC